TAAATCTAAATAAAGTCTTGTGATTTTATTAAAACTAAGTACTTTATAGTCTCAACCACAAAAAATTAAATTAAGAAAAAAAGCATAAAGTTGTAAATAATAATAAGTTGATTAACAATAATAATATTAAATGTAAAATATTTAAATCTCTTGGAAAATAAAGTTTTAATTTTATAATCATCTTGAAACATTATCAAGTAGTTTAAGTTATTTTTTTAATGATGAAATTGCTCTTCCAAGAACATCTTTCGCTAAGTTATTATGTTTATGTCTTACTATCATATCTTTTAATATTTTTAGTTGTATTATCATTTCATTCATAATATTTGGGTAATTGTTAATACCAAAAAAACAATGATACTTGGATAATTAGATCAAACTCATCATAATTTTTTCGTCTTTCTCTAGAAATTAGGATGTATGAATTAATGGAAGGAATTACTACTAGAAAAATTAATTAAATATAATAAGTATAATATTTAAAAATAATAATAAAAGATAAAACAAACGGGTTAACCGTCACCCGTGGGTTAACCCTAACCCAACTCGTGATCCATACAGATTGATAATACAAATTATTTACAAGTTGCGAGTTGAAATATGTAGACCCTAACCCATTTTTATGAGTTAGGTGAATTTTTGCCAGGTCTAGTGGTTATACTTAATTTTTTTTTATCATTGGTGTAAGTTAATATTACAAAAAAATTAAAATCTTTTCTATTTTTAATTAATTTTTAACTTTTTTTACAAAGAAACCAGAAAAATATTCACTAAGTGCACAAAAAACCTTTATAAATTTTGTTTCGATCCTTCCTAAAGACTATTAGAGTTTCCTTATCTCATTTTCCTGTGCAAAAAATTTGGTCCCCCTCTCAACCAATCCTGACTCACTAATGCCTGTGGTAAAAAATCTCTACTTTGACCCTTATACCTTAATAAATTTATAGGTTTTAATCTCTTATCTTTTACTATAATACTTTTAGCTCCTCATCTATACGAATGAAAGAAAATAACTCTTTTTAATGACAGATTATAACGTTTTGTTAATCTTTTTTTTTTTTTGGGTACTAACCCCCAGTATTCAAAAGCCATATTGGGCCCTAATTAATTCAGAGTCGACCCAAGTAAAACCTCATATGAGGAGAAACTCTCTTATTACCTGTTTTTTCATTTATAAGACTCGAACTCGAAATCTTGTTTAAGGGAAATTGAACTCCTTCCATTCGGGCCAACAGGTCGTTGGTGTTCTGTTAGTCTTTTAGTTGACTGTTAACTTTATTAACTGATTGTTAGCATTCCGTTATATAAAACATAAAATTTAATTTAATTTTATTTGTTAATTTTGTTAACAGAATGTTAATAGTTAGCTAACAGTTAATTAATAAAATTAACAGTTAATTAATAAACTAACAAAATATTATAATTTGATGTTGAGTAATTAAGTAAGAGTTATTTTTTTAATTTGTATAAATAAAGAATTAAAAATATCGGGAAAGTGGGTATCAGTCCTACCTCCCAAAAAAAAGTTGGAGTCCCAAACCAAACGGCGTCGTTTTCCTCTAAAAAACACAGCCCTGCTATTCGTCTTTTCTCTCAAAAATCCAGCCTCTGCTCCTCAATCATCTCTCAAAAATCCAGCCCCTGCTCCTCAATCATCTCTATCTCCTTCTTTGCCCCTTCTGCAATCATCTCCATCGCCTCCTCACCTCTTCACTCAAAAAGCTCACCAGTAATGTCACCCCCTCTGCAATCATCTCCATCTTCCCCTCCAAAATGTTGGCAGTACAATGGGGATGTTAAGAGGAAAAAACAAATTCAAAATTCAACATGAAACTGAACGAAACCGAGAGGCAAGACGAGCAACACAACATCAGAAACAATCAAAACCATCATTAATTAGCCCACGCAAGAAAAACAAATTTAGTTCAAATCCCATTTGCAGTAATCTTTTCACAACACTAAAATTCAAATCGAAATTCTTGTTCTCGATAATGAAACAAACTTGAATTTCGCATTAAACGCACAAGTATATTTCAATCCATAATCAAATGCGGCCAAGAAAACAACATAATAATAATAATAAAACTCATAAATTCAATTTGTGAACAGAACTCGAGAAAGGGAAAAGACGAGGAGCAGAACTCAAGCATCTTTGAAGACAACAAACCCAGATCTCGGTTTCCTCTAGTATAACTAAAATTGCAATTTCCATTCTCATCATTCAATTTCAACACGATTATAACCAAAATCACAGCAACCAAACTTGCAAAACCCAAATAAATTGGTTCGCAACTCCCTCAAGCTCATGTGACAAAGGAACACAAATCTTGATTTCTTTTTTTCTATGGCACTTCGAGCTCGTGAGGAAGCGTGGTTATGTCTCTTGGCTTCTAATCGCCTCAACCTCACATGAGGGAAAAGGGGGAAAGGGAGAGATAGAGATGATTGTAGAGGGGGCGACATTACTGGTGAGATTTTTGAGTGAAGAGGTGAGGAGGCGATGGAGATGATTGCAAAAGGGGCAAAGAAGGAGATGGAGATGATTGAGGAGCAAAGGCTGGATTTTTGAGAGATGATCGAGGAGCGGGCGCTGGATTTTTGAGAGAAAGGACGAACAGCGGGGTTGTGTTTTTTAGAGGAAAACGACGCCGTTTGGTTTGGGACTTCAACTTTTTTTTGGGAGGTAGGACTGATACCCACTTTCCCGTAAAAATATTATAATAAAAAATAAAAAATAAAAAATTATAAATTTATTAAGATAAAAAAAATTAAAATTAAGTTTTTAGCCAGGCTGTGCATTTAGGCCAAGAGTCCAATCACTTGTCCAATAAAAAAAAAAAGGAGAAATTCGTCGACACATAACACATTCACCATAAAGCCTTGTTTTCCACTTTCCAGTCTGGGATCGCACAAGGCACGAGGAAACACCATCTTTTTCGGTGTCCGAGGAATTTAACTTCCTCCATGTCAATTTATTTACGAGTAGGTTTTTCAAATACGTGATTTAACTTTAAGAGTGCAGGTTGTGATTTTATTTATTGTAGTGGTTTACTGTAATTTAAATTAT